TACACATTTTGACAGTTTTGACATTAGGAAACATTGGTATTACAATGCAAATTTTATCAGAACAATCCTTAAAATATTTACATATAGTAAAAAGTGCAGGGTGATTTAAAATCTATTATTTATAGGAGAGTTAATTTTCTAATTTGTCTTTGCTGTAGCTGCTAGTCCTCTGACATTAACCATCGGTAACCCACCCAGACTCATCGTTCAAGTAGGATACATGTGATATAATTTCAAATTGCTACAATGTATTAATAGAATTATCAGGAAGAGCTAAAATCTTATCAATGTTACGACTAATTTGCTAGTTACAAAAATGTAATTTTTTAATTAGTGACAGTGAATAAAACAAAATGAAGTTATGGTAAACAATGAAACAGAACTAAATCTTGATATGGCAAAAGTGTCAGAGGTTATAAAAAGCACGTGCCTGGTTCATTTGTCTTCATGTGAAAATTATCCAAGATTATTTAAAAATATTTGAATACACTTGATGAGTATTACAGTAAGAAGTAGGTTTGGCTACATATTATTGTGATCTCTTAAATTGTCTATACAAGTATGAAAAAGAATATTATGATGGTGCAGGTAGAATTAGGATTAAAAGTGAAATATACCAGGTAAAAAACAAGAAAAATTGAACTGGTGTGTTGCTCTAGTTTACCTGGTTTATTTAAATCTTCTAGTAAATTTAAAGCAGCATGTGTTTGATTTCACACTTTAGGCTGAATTGTTTAGGTTTCAATTGATTATTGCTTGTATGAGTTTAACCCTATATATCAAGAGCCTTAAATTAATTAAAGATGTCAAGAACTAATTAGAGTTCTCAAGACTGGTAGCAACCCTTGCTGCAGTAATCCTGCCCTGGTGGAATTCACAGTCTTGAGGGATATGGGCCAGGTGAAGAGTAGAGTCAGGACTTTGAATTTTAAGAGAGCAAAATTTCAGTTGTTTAGGGAATCAGTGGATGGGACTCCCTGGGAAACTGCCCTCAGGGATAAAGGAGCTGAACAGAGTCGGCAGCTCTTCAATGACATTATTCTTAGAGCACAAGAGCTCTCGATTCCCACATGCAAGAGATCAGGCAAGGAAGGCAGGAAACCAGAATGGCCTAGTAAGGACCTCCTGGTCAAACCTAAAGTACAAGAAGGAAATGCACAGGCTGTGGAAACAGGGACATGGAAACATGGAAAAAATATAGGGATGCTGCCCGAATGCATAGGGATGGGATCAGGAAAGCTAAGGCACAGCTGGTACTGAATTTGGCAAGGGATGAGAACAATGAGAAGGACTTGGTACAATGAGAAGGACTACAGGTACATTAGCCAGAAAAGAAAGATTAAAGAAAATGTATTCTCTTCTCCAGCCTGATAAATAGCACAGGAGAACTGGTGACAACTGACATGGAAAAGGCTTAGGTACTCAACAATTTTTTTTGCCTCAGATTTCAATGAAAATCTCTCTTCCCACATATCTAAAGCCCCGAACCTCAAGACAGTAAATGGAGGAAAGAAGTCCCTCCTATCATAGGAGAAGATCAGTTCATGACCACCAGAGGAACTTGAGTGCACACAAGTCCATGGGACCCAACAAGATGCATGCCAGGGTCCTGAGGGAATTGGCTGATACAGTTGCCAAGTCATTCTGCATTATATTTGTTATGGCAGTCAGGAAACAACCCAGGTGACAGGAAAAAGGGAAATATTGTACCCATTTTAAAAAAAGGTAAAAAGGGGGACCCTGGAAACAACGGACCAGTCAGCCTCACCTCCAGCCTAGTAAGATCATGAAACACATTGTCTTGAAAAGTATTGAGTCCAGTATTATTTAGCTTATTCATCAATAACTTGGATGAAGGGATAGAGTGCCTTCACTGCAGGTTTGCTGACCATACAAAACTGTGAGGAGTGGCAGATACTCCAGAGTGTTATGCTGGCATTCAGAAGGATCTCAACAGACTGGAGACATGGGCAGAGAAGAACTGTCTGAAATTCAACAAAGGCCAGTGCACAGTCTTGCACCTGGTAAGGAATAACCCCAGGCACCAGTACAAGCTGGGGGTGATCTGCTGGAAAACAGCTCTGCAGAGAAGGACCTGGGGGTCCTGGTGGACAACAAGCTGCCCATGAACCAGCAGTGCCCTTGTGGCCAAGAAGGCAAATGGTATCTTGGGGTGCATTGGGAAGAGCATTGCCAGCAGGTGGAGGGAGGTGATTCTGCCCCTCTACTCAGCCCTGGTTAGGCCTCACCTGGAGTGCTGTGTCCAGTTCTGGGCTCCTCAGTACAAGAGAGACATGGAGATCCTTTACCACGTCCAGTGGAGGGATATAAAGATGATTAGAGGACTGGAGCAACTCACTTATGAGTAAATGCTCAGGAAGCTGGGCCTGTTCAGCTTGGAGAGGAGATGACTGAGGTGATCTTACCAATGTATATAAGTATCTAAAGGGAGGATGTCAAGAGGATGGGACCAGGCTCTGCTTGGTGGTGCTGAGCAATAAGATGAGAAACAACAGGCAGAAACTGGAACACGAGAAGTTCCAACTGAACATTAGGAAGAACTTTACTGTGCAGGTGACTGAGCATTGGAACAGGTTGCCCAGAGAGATTGTGGAGTCTCCTTCCCTGGAGATATTCAAGAACTGTCTGGATACAATCCTAAATAATGTATTCTAGGGCCCTTGCTTGAGCAGATAGGTTGGACTAGTCAACCTCCAGTGGTCCCTTCCAACTTACCCATTCCATGATTCTGCATATGTCAAAACGTGGAAAACAAGGAGGTGATTAGAGACACAGCCAACATGACTTCACCAAAGGCAAATTATGTCTGACTAATCTAGTGGTCTTCTACAATAGAGTGACTGCATCAGTGGAAAAGGAAAGAGTTATGGATATCATCTACCTGGCTTTCTGTAGGGCCTTTGAAATGGTCCCCCAAAACATTCTGGCCACTAAATTGGAGACATATGGGTTTCATCAATGGACTTTTAGATGGATAAGGAATTTGTCTGGATGGCCACGTCTCAAGGGTTACAGTCAATGGCTCCATGTCCAAATGGAGATCAGTGACTAATGGTGTCCCTCTGGGGTTCATACTGGGATCAATACTGTTTAATATCTTCATCAACGTAACACACAGTGGGACTGAGTGAACCCTCAGCAAGATTCCAGATGACACCAAACTGAGTGATTCAGTTGGTTTGCTATGTAGCATCCAGAGGGACCTTGACAGGCTTGAGGAGTGGGCCCATGCAAATCTCATGAAGTTCCCCAAGGACAAGTGCAAAGTACTGGACCTGGGTCAGAGCAATCCCCAGTATCAATATCAGTATCAATATAGATTAGGGAATGAACAGATTGAGAGCAGCCCTGCAGAGAAGGACTTGGGGATGCACTGGTGGACAAAGAACTGGCTATGAGCTGGCAATGTGCACTTGCAGCACAGAAAGACAATCACATCCTGGGTTGAATGAAAAGAAGCATGGTCAGCAGGTCAAATGAGGTAATTCTCCTTCCCTACTTCACTCCTGTGAGACCCCACTTAGAGTACTGCATTCAGCTCTGAGGTGCCCAGCACAAGAAAAACTTGTTAGAGTGGTTCCAGAGGATGGACACAAAGATGATTGGAGGGCTGGAACACCTTTCCTATGAGGAAAGACTGAGAGAGTTGGGGATTTTCAGCCTGGAGAAGAGAAGGCTCTAGGTAGTCTTTCAATACTTAGAGGGCTTATAAGAAAGACAGGGACAAAATTTCTAGTAGGGCATGTAGCAGTAGGACAAGGGGTGAACACTGAAAGAGGGTAGGTTTTGATTAGACATAAGAAAGTGTTTACAATGAGGGTGGTGAGACACTGAAACAGATTTCACAGAGAAGTTGTGGATGCCCCATACCTGGAAGTGTTCAAGGTCAGATTGGTCGGGTCTTTGAGCAACCTGATCTAGTGTAAGATGTCCCTGCCCATACTGTGATCGGTTTTGGGCCCCTTACTACAAGAAAGACATTGAGATGCAAAGAAGGACGAGGAAGCTGGTGAAGGGTCTGGAGAGTAAGTCATATGAGAAGCAGGGCTGAGGAAGCTGGGATTGTTTAACCTGGAGAAGAGACAGCTCACGGCAGACCTTATCACTCTCTACAACTACCTGGAAGGAGGTTGTAGCAAGATTTTCAGTCTTATCCACATTCTTATGCATGCAAGCATCCCCAGTGAACTGCACTGGTTTTGGCTGGGATAGTTAATTTTCTTCACAGTAGCTGTTATGGGGCTGTGTTTTGGATTTGTGCTGAAAACAGTGTTGATAACACAGGGATGTTTTAGTTATTTCTGAGCAGGGCTTACACAGAGTCAAGGCCTTTTCTGCTTCTCACACTGCCCCACCAGTGAGTAGGCTGGGGGTAGACAAGAAGTTGGAAGGGAACACAGCTGGGACAGCTAACCCTAACTTGACCAAAGGGATATTCCATACCATATGATGTCACAGTCAGCAATAAAACTAGGGGAGACATTGGCAGGCAGGCCACTGCTTGAAGACTGACTGGGCAGCTGGACTGGCTCAGTCGGTTGGTGAGCAATTGCTTTCATTTGCATTGCTTGTCTTTCTTGGATTTTATTTGCATTCTCTGATATTTCTTTCTTTTCCTTATAATTTTTTTATTCCTATCAGTATTATCAATATTGTTTCCATTTTAAAATTAACAAACTGTTTTTATGTCAACCCATGAGTTTTCTCCTTTTTATTCTTCTGATTCTCTTCCCCATTCCACTGGGTGAGAGTGAGTGTCTGTATGGTGCTTAGTTGCCAGCTGGGATTAAACCATGACAGCACTATACTATTTACATGTACAGAGTTAAACTAAATGTAAATATTTGCAAGACAAAGTCATGTATTACTGATTCTGCCAACATAATATGCTTTTTGCTACAGAAACATGTTAGCATGCCAGAACATCATAGTGATTAAGAAATATCCCCAAAGATTTAACATAGTTCTGAAGTACTTACTGTAGCTGGGGAGGCCCGTGTTGTATGAGTCACTGAATGACCAGAATTTTCCATTGAATTGCCAATCAGATAGGTCCCTCCTGAGTTGCTAATGAGCTGTCCTCCTGCAACACCCATCTGAATCCCTCCGGTGCCCACCATACTATGAGAGGAGACCACCGTAGTTGCCTGTGCAGAACTTCCTTCGAAGTAATTTCCCCCAGTGTTTTGGCTATACATCTGGGTTTCCGTGTAAGGATAAGTTGTTCGACTTCAGGAAAAGAAAATAAAAGAAGTAATAGTTATTTATTTGAATTGTTTAAGTGAGGGAAACATCATTGTAGAAAAGAGTGTACAGTTGCTATAACCAAACTTAACAAGATTGGCAAAAACCCCCTGCATCTACACAAAATAACATTTCATATGTCAAAGTACTGAGTAATTAACTTGGACTCACTGTTAAAAGAAGTATTCATTAAACTTAAGAGAAAATTATTTTAGCCCCATCTGAAGATGGGTAGAGAAAAGTATGACAAAAATTGAAGATATGAGAGGAAGATCTCATTCAAGTATTAATATATTATACAGTAATTAAAAAAACTGTTTTAACTTTTAAAATCCTCCAGTCAAAGATGGATTTTTATTTATATGACATTTATTTTGTATACTGTTTTCAGCTGGAATAGAAGTAATTTTTTTCATAGAAGTTGATATAGTGCTGTGTTTTGGATTTAGGATGAGAATAATGTTGATAACATACTGATGTTTTAGTTGTTGCTATGTGGTGCTTATACTAAGTCAAGGACTTTTCAGCTTCTCATGTCCAGCCAGCAAGAAGGCTGGGGTGCACAAGAAGCTAGGCAGGGGCACAGCCAGGACATCTGACCCAAACTGACAAAAAGGATATTCCATGTGTGAGCTCACAGCCCAAGAAACCAACCACATCCTAGACTGCATCAAAAGGAGAATTGGCAGCAGGTTGAAGGAGGTGATTCTCTCCCTCTACTCATTTCTTTTGAGACCCCATCTGGAGTACTGGGTACAGTTCTGGTGCCCCCAACATAAGAAGGACATGGTACTGTTGGAGCAAATCCAGAGGAAGGTCATGAAGTTGATAGGAGGACTGGAGCACCTCCCCTACAAATACAGGCTGAGAAAGTTGGGGCTATTCAGCCTGGAGAAGAGAAGGTTCTGTGAAGGCCTCATAGTAACCTTCCAGTACCTGAAGGGACCTACAGGGAAGCTGGAGAGGGACTCTTCATCAGGAACTGTAGTGATAGGACAAGGAGTAATGGGTACAAATTAAAACAGAAATTTAGGTTAGACATAAGAAAGAAATTCTTTACTGTAAGGGTAGTGAGGCACTGGAACAGATTGCCCAGGGAGGTTGTAGATGCCCCAAACCTGGCAGTATTCAAGGCCAGGTTGGATGAGGCCCTGAGCAACCTGATCTAGTGGGTGGTGTCCCTGCCCATGGCAGGATACTTGGGACTAGATGATGTTTAAGGCCCCTTCTCCCAGCCCTTAACATTCTATGATGTCATGCTCAGCAAATAAACTGGGAGAAGTTTGCCAGGGGGCTGGAATCACAGCTCAGGGATGGGCTAGGCATCAGACAGCAAGTGGTGAGCCATTGAATTTCGCATAATTTGTTTTGTATATTCTATTTTTTTCTCTTCCTTTTTTATCTTAGTAAACTTTCTTTATCTCAACCCATAAGGTTTGCTATTCATAAAATCACTGAATCATAGAATCATCAAGGTTGAAAAAGACCTTTAAGATCATCAAATCCAACTGTCAACCTCAACAACTGTCAAGTCCAACCATCAAACCATTTTTCCCAATTCTCTTCCCAATCTCACTGTAGGGAGGGAGGAGTGAATGAACAGCTGTGTGGTGCTTAGTTGTTGGCAGGGGTTAAACCACAACAACTGTGTACATTACAGAACCGTGAGAAACGACTGCTCACTATAAAAATTTTAAAAGGTTTATTAAACCTTAACAAAAATACAACAAAAGGACTAAATAAGGAAAAACAGGTCTGGGAGCCTCCCTCGTGGCTGTGTTATAAATGATCAAATTGTGAGCCAAATTTATAAGAAAATTTAGCAATGATTTATTAGATCGTCAGCAAAACAGAATTTCGAAAAACAACCACCACAGCCAAGGCAGCGTCAACCCCGGGATCGGCACTGGGTGAACCTGGATCTGACCGCCAAAATGTCAGAGTCTCCCCTTCGGTTCACCCCGACTGCTTCATGCAGTGAGCTTATATACAGTTTATTCTGCCCGAGGCAGAGATGACCGAATGTTCCTTTGTGTCCCTTCACATGCAGAACTGGGGCCATACATGTGCAGGGTTAGACAAAAGTTGGTTCCAGATGTCTAGATGTTGTCAGAACACTCAGAAAAGTCTGCATTCACATGTAGTAGGGTAGCGCCCGGGGCAATCTTCGAGGTTCGAGGTGCGAGATCACTCCTACATTCCAGGGAAGTCGTAGATCATAGCCCAGGAAGGTCCCATTCATACGTTAACAGACTTGATATTATCTGAATGTCGTCTGGGAACTAACTGAATAAAAATAAGACTCCTGCTCCCGGCTGGGGTGGTCAAAAGACATGGCTTGGATTTTACAATATTTTATACATAAACAGCATGAATTATCTCTACCATATACTACAGCTGCCTACCACACGGCTCCTCTTCAAGATCGATGATTCGCCTTTTATACCCCGGGGGGGGGGGGGTTTGCATCAGCCAAACCTGGCCCCTCCCAAAGTCTGTCCGTCAACTCTTCTTTGCCATTTATTGGTGGACACTGCTTTCTTGCAACTTGATTGGAGGGTCAGGTGTTGTCATGCTGTGCACCCCCCCTCCCCACACCCCCCAGCAATAAGCTTTTCCATTCTCAACTGCCCCATGCAAGGGGCACATGTACACGCCTTTTTTCTACCTGTCCTAGATAACCCAGGCTGTCTGATGACAACAATACAAAGGGGGGAAAAGGGGACTATGGGGAGAACAGAGGACATCTAAACAACAAACTACAATAACATAACGATACATCAATAAAGCTTCTCTTAATATTCACACAATATTCATCCCTTAATTGCAAGTGCAAATAATCTCATTACCCATCTATAACAAAACTGTAAACATGACAAAAAAATGTCAGCCAAGAGGGTCCTATATACAGGAACCCTATAAATGCTTTGCTTTTATTTCAAATTCACTGAAATTCTCTGTCTGAAGCTTGAAATTCTGAGCTCATTTGTATTTTAAGACATTCAGTTAGTTCAGCAGAGTGAAATTTAAATTGGACGGCAATATGTACAGTGTTATTATGTTATTATGAAAAAGAAGGAAAAACTAAAATAGAACTACAATTTGTGAAAAGATTTGTGAAGGGAGTAGAAAAGTCAAAGGAACAGCAGCAATTTTACACAATTCTTTCCAACTATTAAACATTTGGGCCTCATTAACCAGGTAATCTTTGTGGAAGGTTAAAATGTTGGGTTTTTTTCTTTTTCTCTCAGGAAATTTTCTCCCATTTGTTACTATGAGATATTAATGACTGGTACTTAAGAGACACAAAAGAAGTGTCCAAGGTGGGGGGAAGGGGTGCAGCTGGCTGCATCCCCTTAGCCAGGGGCTTTTCTCTTGGGAAGGGCAGAGATACTGTGAGATTTTGGCTGGGGGTAAGGGGCTGGGCTCAGCTCCAAGCTGTCTCTCGCTCTCGGGACCAGAGGGGAGATAAGCTGCAGTCGCTGTGGGAAGAATTCACCACCACTGCAAAGTCCCATCTCCTACTAGTTTTTCCTACCGTGAGTTTTGGGTTACTCTCCTGGCAGCTGAGTGAAAGGACTCTGTGTACACTATTGTCAATTCGGTAGTAAATTACATTGACTCCTAATCTATACTATTTCTTTGCTAGCTATAATATAGGTACCTTTATGTTGTGCACTGTTTAATGTAATCTACTAGTAGTTCTTTTAGTTTATACTGTGCAGTAACTCTGTTTAAGGCCTTTTGTCTGTTACCTCATATCTATTCAATAAATAACTCATTTTACAATAGACCTAATTGACCGTTCTTAAGAACTTGGGAGCTAGAGTGATTTAGGTGAGGGTCACTTAAGTAGAGCTGCTGCCAAAAATCTGAGCCTAAGGCAGGGCTTAACTAAAGCTCTCACTCCATCCAAAACAGTCTCACCAGAGTGAAGTAAAGGGGTAGAATCGCCTCCCTCAACTTTCTGGCCACGCTGCTTTTGATGCAGCCCAAGGACACAGTTGGCTTTCTGGGCTGCAAGCACACATTGCCAGCTCATATCCAGTCTCTCATCCACCAGCACCCTCAAGTCCTTCTCAGCAGGGCTGCTCTCAATCAGTTCATCCCCCAGTCTATATTAACACCAGGGTTCACCAGGACCCAGGTGCAGCACCAGCACTTGTTAAATCTTATGAGGTTCTCATGGGCCTGGTTCTCAAGCTTGTCCAGGTTCCTCTGGATGGCATCCCATTCTTCAGGTGTGTCAACTGCACCACTCATCTTGGTGTCATCTGCAATTCTGCTGAGGGTGTACTCGATCCCTTTGTCTGTCATTGATGAAGATACTAAATAACACTGGTCCCAATATAGATCCCTGAAGGATACCGCTTGTCACTGATGTCCATCAGGACTCTGAACCATTGATCACGACCCTTTGGATGCAACTGTCCAACCAATTCCTTATCAACCTAACAGTCCACCCACTGAATCCATCTATCCAATTTAGAGAGAAAGATATGGAAGACCATGTCAAAGGCTTTACTGATGCCAAACTGATTCTTTGCCCTTTTTTTTTAAAATATATTTTCTGTATTTTTTACACATATATTTGTAGCTCTGTAGCCTATTATTGTATTTGTAGTTAGCTCCAGTATTTTTTCCCTAGACTGATAGGCAGAAATACAAAACACATTCCAGAGACTCCAAGCTGGGGGTCCAAGGCTCCTTTCCTATCTTGGTTCTTCCTGGGAACCAAGGTTGAAACCAGCTCTTTGAGACACATTTTCATAAACAGAGTTTAGTCCCTATCTAGAGGAGGGGGAATTCAAAAAAGGGTTGAACTGGGGGGGAATTACCTTACCAATTATGCTTCTAATTGGGGATTCTTGTCAGATATGCTAATTTTCAAAACCTATAAAAATTGTATATGCATTATGCTGTGTGTGCATCTTCGGTGTTTTCCACCTACCCAATTGTGCACCAAAGGATCTTTATAAAGGTAA